CTCCCCCCCCCCCCCGGCACCACCACCACAATTATTATTATTATTATTAGTTTTTTAAAGAAAGACATTATTGGGCTTTTAAATTTTTTATATTTTGAGGTCGCACATATCTCGTGGCTCAAGTCCACTACGTAGGTAGCCCTGGGCCAAGGCCTAGCTTGCTAATGAGCTATTCGGCCCGTATATGGAGGTATTTTGCATTTTTGTCTGACTTTTAACCACTCAGCTCGAGCCCGTTGTTTCCAATATAGTTATCTCATCCTCCATCCATTTGCCTTCAATCAGGGTCGGTCCTCTGTATATTGGAACCCGAGGTAAAGTTCAAAAATTATGCCCCCTAAAATTAACGTAAATGTAAAATTCAACGATATATTATGCAAAATATTGTCAACTTAAAACTTAATATTAGAACAACAAACAAATATCTCAATCATTCACAATTAATGGAAAATATTATTTTCCTTTTTCTTCTTCCAATATTAATAATAAAATAAAATAAAAATAAAAAATAAAAACTTTTGAGCCAAAATAGACTCCCTATGGTTTTGGGCCTGAGGCACATGCCTCATTTGCCTGCCACAGGACCGGCTCTGCCTTCAATCATATCCATCCATCTACCACTCTCACACCCGTTATACAGTTACGCCACCTCCAACCTAAGTTGCGTCAGCCTCTTCTTCCACCTCCCAAAGTGCAGATCGCTCCCTGCCACTATCTCCCAACCACACTTACCCAACTTATTCCTCTTCCCTTCCAACTATACCCTCCTCCAAGCCCGTCTGACAACAGCGGTGTAGTCACTATCCTAGAAAAAGAATGGATTTAGTTAAGACATTATCAAACAATATTAGATACACGATCATACATAAAATTAAAAGCACCCATGTTCATCAAACACGACATTGATGATATTTCCATAGTTAGAACAAATTAATCGTTCGAATATCCTATAACAACCCAAAAAATCATAAAAATTGATAAATAATTCAGAGAATTTGGAAGATTACGTACTTTGTAATGTTGACCTTTTTATTTCACTTTAATTTTCCTTTTCTTTTCCTTTTTACGGATATGAGAACTATGAATAAAAAAGATTCAACTGATTATATTTGTTTTTATTTTTCTTTTTTTTTTTTATCACTTTTGTTATTTATCTCCATTTTCTATGAAAAAAATAAATTGTGACTAAAGATTCCCATGCTACTTTTTCCTTTTTTCATTATTTTTATTTTTTTTGAAAAAGATCAATTTGTAATTAAATTAAAAAATTTTATGTAAAAAAGACTAATTTGTAATTATATTTAAATATATATTGATTTCTTTTTATGTCATATTGATAATACTGAAAACTAAATTATTTTATTTTTTTTATCAAAAAAATATGAAATATATGCTATTTGATTATTATTTATTTAATTTAGTGACTTAAATCTTCATTATTTCAAAATATAGGTAGGAAAAAGGAAATTATAAGATCGAACATCTATCTCGTACGTGATAACTTCACAATATTGTATAAGATTCACATGAATTTTATTTTAAATGAAAGTCTTGAAACATCTTTTGAATTAGAATTCTATCAAAGTTCACTATATTCAAAAAACTTATCCCTTAAAAAAAATTATAATATTTTTTTTCTTTTCGACAGTACGATAATAATACACATCCATCTCCCGAGTTCTTCCACCCAATTCTTCGTTCTTTTCAGAAACAGGGTCTTAAAAAAAAATGAAGAATTCCTACCTGCCAGAAGATGCTATAATGCAGATCTTGTCAAGACTCCCTGTGAAAACCCTTCTCCGATTCAGGTGCGTATGAACCCAATGGTGCACCTTAATCTCATACCCTTCATTCGCCTCTTTGCACATCAGCCGCTCCGTTTCCAACCCTACTAGGCACTCCATTCTTTTTTCAAAATTACGTAATCCATTAATGTCGTTGGACCCCGTCGCCTTTGCCCCAATTGCAAAATTCAATCTTGCGCTGCATCAAGCCTCTAATATCTCCGAGGAAATTATTTATGTAGGCTCAATCAATGGCCTGGTTTGTATAACCAATCACTGTTGTGATTGGATCTGTGTGTGGAACCCTTCCACCAGATTCCTCAAAGAACTCCCACCTGCAACTGAAGTTCCAAGAATGGTTTCCATTGGTTTTGGTTGGGACCCCGCTGTTAATGATTACAAGGTAGTGAGACTTTGTTGTGGATGTCAGAATTTAGTAACTTGGGTTGAGGTATGGTCGGCCAGACCCACTTTACAATCTTGGAGGGAGATTAATGTTTATCACAACTTTTATGTTCAGCGATTGATTTGTCATGTGATACTGGAGGGATTCATTTATTGGATCGCCGTAAGTGACAGTAAACCTGTTGTCGTTTCCTTTATCGTGAGGTCCGAGGTACTGCGGGTGGTTCCCGTGCCAGAACTTTTACTCGAGGGGCTTCCGCTGCCACACCTTACACGATGGTATGATAATAGGCTACTCAATCGTTTTCTAATATTTGCTATGAATTGGAAAGAATCTTTTGCTTTGGTAGGATGTGCATCAGTGGAGCACAGAAAAATATATCAAGTATGGACAATGGAAAATGACGCGGTTGGGAAGGAATCATGGAGTAAGAAATTCACCTTTGAACTAGATATTGAACCTGTTTTCATTAGCTGTGTGAACGGAATACTTGTACTGAAAAAAGAAACGGGTGAACTGATTTTATATGACGTTGAAACCAGAGAAAGCAAGAAAATTGAAATTTTGGGAGTTGATGCTTGGGTGATTGGAGTTCACTACTACGTGGAGAGCTTACTCTCTATCAAGAGGGTTAGTTGGGCCTCGCTGCTATGCGATGGGTTTTCTCTCGATGAAGAGCTTAAATCTGCTTGGAGAAGGCACCTGCTTGCCTCCAAGCAGATTTATCCTTTATCCGGCCAGGCAAAGAAATTTGTCATTTCACAGTCTAGATACATTTCAAGAGGTGCATTGTACTAAAATACAAGTTCTAGAGGTTTGCTGAACTCAGATATATTTTTCATTATTTTGAATATCGAGAATTCGGTGAAAGTTATTACATTGACATTACATCCTAAATGCAAATTAGGGGGGAAAACGGAAAATTACCAAAAGAAAAATCCACAATGAATGACCCCTTCTATTTACTCACATATGTCAAAGATCTGGTCATCTATTTTTCTCAGATGGTAGATTTAAGCGAGTGAGTACATTTTGAAGCATTTATTGATTCTCTATAAATTTTTTGATTCTCATCACGTGGTTAAGCAGAAGCAATTGGTTTGTACCATCATTTCATTTTTCTAGAGGAGTTGGAAATGCCCCAAAAAAAAAGGGTAGTTCTACTTTTTTGACAGATTCTCACATTCATGTGGGATCCGCGTGGGACCCGAGTGAAAAAAATGATAAAAAATTGCTCCTCCCTCCTCCTATGAGTCTGTTTTGTCAGGGTGGGTGTCAAACCCTCCCTGTACAAACAGCAAGGTCCATTTCATTTTTCTAGAGGAGTTGGAACTTGGAAATGCCCCAAAAAAAGGGTAGTTCTATTTTTAATCTATTTTTCTGTTTCAATTCGATAATCATAGTAAAAAGTACAAAATATGGAATGGCATTGCACGATGCTTTTTCTTTGATCATCCCCTTTCCATAGCCTGGGTGATGCTAATAATTATTGAATTTGATCAACTTGAACTTCAGGGGGTTCACTAAGTTTAGCAGGACTGATTATGTGAAATATAAAACAGAATTGAAATTTATACATAACTATGTTGATATGTTCTTTTCGCATAACCACAGACTATGATCTATTTAACTCTGGGAACTCAAAGAAAAGCAACTCAGAAGGGCACAAAACAAAATTATAATTCAACTCTAGAGACTATGCTATATTTTGGTACAAAATTCAAATATTAATTTAATTTTAACAACGAAACACACAATAAATTTATATTTTTCAAATAATTAAAATAGCTTAAAATTCTATAAAATATATTAAAATTATATTTAACTAATGTCTAATCGAGTAATCATTTATTGTGGAATTGACAATTCAAATTCGTTTGTCCACTCTATTACTTTTATCCACTCATGCGATTGTGCTATATATTTTTTAACAAACAATAGATCGACGTCATTTTTATAGGTTTTATAACCAAAATTTGACCACCTCAAAATTCAGTGAGCAATCGAAGAAATTTTCAAAGTTTAATAAGTAATCAAAGACATTTTTCAAAATGTAGTGAGCAATTAAAGACATTTTCAAAGTTTGGTGAGCAATCGAAGACCTAACAATTTGTTAACTGCATGACAAGCCTCCACGTGTATATTTTCGTTAGTCACATCACTAATTTTGTCAAAGAATTGAAACAAATGTTAGGGTAGTGAGTAATGCCCAATATTTTAATAAGTTTAATGACCAAAACTCGATATTTTAAGTTTCAATGAATAATAGAAAACAGAGACATGAGTTCAATGACCATTGGGACAATTAACTCTAAAATGCCATTGAATGGAGTACAGGGAAGGAAGAGCTCCTTATAGGACTCTAAGTGCCGAAGGAACAAGAGAGCTACTAAAGGGCTACCTGTGACCTCAAGGTTATGAGCCTTGCGAGCTACCAAACTGTTCTACCCCGCGCTGAAGCCAAGGAATCCGAATATACAAAAGAGAATAAATGGATAGGATTGCTTTCGTGTGGCGAGGTGTATGGCTGTATGCTTATTTTGCTACGTGTATGATTAAGAGAGTGTTTGGGTGTTCTTAATATATATATATATATATATATATATATATATATGTGTGTGTGTGTGTGTGTGTGTGTGTGGGGGGGGGGGGGGGGGCGGAGAAAACCATAGCACCCGTTCTAGTAGATCCACAATTTCTATCCATTTATAAATTATTTCCAAAACGAAGGCTTAAATGCATTCATGTAGGTCTATATACTTACCATGTTAAAAATTTCAGTACCATAGTCTGAAATTAATTTTTGCAAACTACCTAAAAACAAAGCTAAGCAAAAATTTATGATGCAAAACTTGTGTTTACTTGACCATGTGTATCCACATGCCTAAGGCGGAATCAGTCAATTTGATGATAACCTACTTGACTCAATTGATTTGCTCAGAAAGATCAACATTGTGACTATTGATTAATTAGCAGTACTCTATAATTCATATTGATAGTCAGTCACCAAATTGAAATCCAAAGATACTAATATAATAATATTGCATGTTATGAAACGTCTACGGAATCCCATAAATGCATCCTACCCAAAATAGATTTCTTCACAAACATGACATCGATGATATTTCCATAGATGGAACAAATTAATCGTTCGAATATCCAATTAAAAAAAAAAATCATAACAATTGATAAATAATTCTCAGAAATTGGAAGATTTTGTACTTTGTAAATGTCAACTTTTTTATTTCTCTTTAATTTTTCCTTTTCCTTTCCCTTTTCCTTTTACATATATTAGAACAAAAAAAAAAAAAAAAAAAAAAAAAAAATTCAACTAATTATATTGGTTTTTATTTTTCTTTTTTTATTATGACTTTTATTATTTATCTCCATTTTCTATTAAAAAAATAAATAGTAAAGACTAATATATAATTATGATTAAATATATTGATTTATTGTTTACTCTTTAAAAGTATATCATATTGATGATATTGAAAACTAAATTATTTTCCTTTTTTTATCAAAAAAATAATGAAATATATACTATTTGATTATCATTTAATTAATTTTGTGTGTTAAATTTCTATTATTTCAAAATATAAGGAGGAAAAAGGAAATTATAGGATCGAACATCTATCTCGTATGTGATAACTTCACAAATATTGTATAAGATTCACATTATTTGAATTAGAATTCTATCAAAGTTCAAAAAAAGAATTCTATCAAAGCTTTCAAATAAAAAAAAAAAAAAAGTAATAATAATAATTATAATTTTTTTTTTATTTTTTTACAAAAGTACCATAATAATACACATCCCTCTCCCCGGGTTCTTCCACCCAATTAATTCGTACTTTTCGTAGACTGGATCTTAAAAAAAAAAAGAAAAAAATGAAGAGTTCACAAATCTCGTACCCTTCATTCGCCTCTTTGCACCTCAGCCGCTCTGTTTCCAACCCTACTTGGCACTCCATTCTTGTTCACGAATTAAGTAATTCATTAATGTCCTTCGACCCGTTGCTTTACCCCTGTCGAAAAATCCAATCTTGAGCTGGATCAAGCCTATAATATTTACAAGGAAATTATTTATGTAGGCTCAATCAATGGCTTGGTTTGTATAGCCAAGTGCCGTTATGGTTGGATCAGTGTATGGAACCCTTCCACCAGATTCGTCAAAGACCTCCTACCTCAACTGAAGTTCCAAAAATGTTAATAACTTGAGTTGAGGTATGGTCCGCCAGGTCCATTTTACAATCTTGGAGGGAAATTAAAGTTGATCACAACTTTATGTTCAGCGCTTGATTTGTGATCTGATACTGGAGGGATTCAATTATTGGATTGCCGTAAGTAACAGTAACCTGTTATCGTTTCCTTTAACGTGAGGTCCGGAGACTCCGATTAATTGCGGGTGGTTCCTGTGCTAAAACTTTAGAGAGCAGTAGATGTACACATGGTGTTGTACAAAATGGTTTACTTACACTCACAATGGAAGGGTGAGGGTCACATGTGAGGCCCAGGTGTATGTGAGAGTGATTGAAACATTTTATACAAATGTGTGAGTACAAATATCTTTATCCCAGAACTTTTACTCGAGGCGCTTCCGCTGCCACACCCATAGGCAAAGGGAGGTGGGGTTGGAGCCCCGCCCCGCCCCAGCCCAAAAGCAATTAACTTGTAAAAATTGGAAAATTCAGTCCAAATTATTGATGAAATTAATAGAGAAGAATAAAAATTAACCCAACCCAAAAATTAATTTTAGCCCAATTAACTTAATTCCCAACCCAAGCCCAATGTTCAATTATTCAAATTAAAATAGTTCATTTATAATCAAATTAGTTTATTATATTAGAAATAATTTTTATTGATTAAAGTAAAGATAAAATAACTTATTGTAGCATGTCACATGTTTGACTAAGCTTAAAAGAAATTTATTTTTTCTAACGTATTTTTTCTTATATTGCTTATTTATACTTATGAGTTAAAAATTTATTTATTTCGATCACAAAATGGATGTTATTATCAAAATAAGTAATATGTTCTGTACTTATTTTTATCAGTTAAAAATATATTTCTTAGAACATTGTCATAAATATTTAAAAATATATCTTAACCCATTTTGTTGTTAGTGTCAAAGAGTTTAACATTTTAAACTAATCTCGAGTGGCAAAGAGCATTTATTAAGAAAATTCAATTTTCAACCCACCATAACATATCTTCCTAGCTCCGCCCCAGGGCCCCACACCTCACACGATCAATGGCAGATGTAGCTCGCCCTAGCTGACTTCACCGGAACTGCCGACCGCCAGCCGTCGGGAGTGGACAATGGATTGGTTTGTTTTCAAATTTAAACATTTTCTTGGCTGTGTGCCTATGCCGCAACTGCTATTGTTGGGTCGACAATTTCAAATCTTTTTAGGCCTCTATTTTTTTTTTTTTTTAAATCAGGCCCAAAAAGCCCAGATGAGCATTCTCCAATCTATTACCATATAACTAGATTATTCCCTAAAGGCCTAAACATTAGTGACTAGTCCACTACCGCCAGCAAACTAGGGTAGATCGCACTTCGCAGACGGAGACTCGGAGAGAACCAGCTGACCAGCATTCTAGCACCAGGCAACCCGCAGCAGTAGCCAGCAGCAAGCTTTCCTTCCATTGAATCAATCCCGTTTCCGATTTCCTTCCCATCAAAATCAGTATTATTATAGGCTTTTTACCTGTTCTTGAATAAATACATAATTCTCTATTTCTCCATGTAACTTGTTAAATTGTAACCAATTTTTAATATTTCATAATTTTGTTTCAATATATATACATGAAAGTTTGATAACTTATAGTTATATTATTGTAGATTCAATGTACCGTATGTCATATAGACTACAGTACTGGTGAGTGGTGAAGTTGTGTTGGACAATTTTTCAATATTTGCTCAGTTTTCTCGGTTATATATAGATAATAGATGGTTTGGAAATTGCTGAGGATGGGCATTTACTTTATAATATCAATTTGTGAAGATATGATATGGATGAGGATGGCATAAATAAATTACGAATTCTATCATTCTTTTATGCTTATTTTTGTCCATTATTAATTCATTAGTTAGGATTAAAGAGTCCAATAAAATATTATAATGATATAAATCATTGAAGTTTTTAATTCAATCTCCATTAAGTAGTTTATTAAATCAATTTATTAGGAAAAAAACAATATTATTCATGCATATTTCACTGATTCGATCAATAAATGTTTTGTTCGGAATGAATGATTGAATTGGTTCAAGGCGAATAATTACTGATCCACACATCCTCTGTGATGATCCGAAATGAAATCATAGGCTATTAATTCAAGTTAAGAGAAAAGAAATAGGGAAAAATCGCATATACCCACGATAAAAATAATATTTCCTAATTCCTATTATACTATTGAATGATATGTATACTAACAATATTGTAAAACACTTGGGGATTTTTTTTTTTTTGTTAAATTGTTGATTTTTTAATCAATTGTAATTGAAATTTAAGTTGGGGCATTTTGCAGATTATGGAACGATTTTATTCAAACGAAACGAAAGTCTATACCTAGTTCTCCTGGTCCCATTACTGCTTCTAGCCGAACACTCAAGTTGTTAAACAATACAAAGAAGTCTCGGGCTCAATTCAATGTGGATGATCTTGTATCTGACCCAGGAAAATGCCTCCTATCGAGTTATATGATCTTAATATTAGAGATGATGTTAGGATGGCATATTTGAAAAAAAGTCCTTGTCAACCACATGGACATGACTTTCCAAGAAGACGGATAGGAAATGATAATAGGTGTTTTCGAAAAGAATGGTTTCTGAATTTTATTGGTTTGGAGTATAGTATAGAAAATGATGCGACTTATTGTTTGTATTGCTACTTGTTCAAACCTGATAGAGTGGATCAAGGGGGTGGACACCTCATATTTTAATTACGTGAAAATGGCCCTATTTTAAAATGTCACACATGTCACCTAAAATATCAAGGCTGGCCTTGTGAAAAGGCATGAAGAGGATGTACTATATGACAACTAAATGCAGGTAAAAAAAAATAGAAGGAAACCCAACTTACGTCTTGCGTAAGAAATTTTTGGTTTTTGTTATGGGACAATCTTTTTTTCCCCCCATTAATCGTAGCATCCTTGATTGATGTTGAGAGTCTCTGTTTTGCGCGGGTTAGTCGCTAACAATTAAAAGGGATCAGACGATTGTGTAAAGGACAAACCTCTTGAGACAAAGTCACAAAAAAGGGTGTTCTTTATTGGCGATGACCTTACAATTGGAAATTAAAAACAGAATGCCTCCAAGGGGCGCAAGCACTTGAGTTACTGAAAGAAGTGTTTAAATTTAAGCTAAGGAATTTAAAATTACATGTTCTCTGTTCGAGAATTTTTGAT